TGACCCTTTGTGGGGGAGGTACCAGAAGAAATTTCCCGATCTCTATCATATTTATAACCGATCTTCTGTTGATGGACGTATTGAGATGTGCCAAGTCTGAATGAAATGTGATATTAATTTCCCTTTTTATGAGCTTCATGGGTATTCAAAATTTTGAGCCTTTGTGGGGGAGGTACCATATGGAGTGGACCGATACATCCTATCTTCACAGCATATATTGAGTTAGTAGAAATAATGGGAATGAGGTACCAGAAGGTGTGGACCGATATATTCCATCTTCACCCTAGATCTCGGTTTATTAAAAATATTGTGATGTGCGTAATTTGAAGGCAATCGAAATTTTACAGCACATTTTAGAAGAGATAAAATTATGCAAAATATTGACCCTTTGTGGGGGAGGTACTTGATAGAGTGGACGATTGGTGTCCATTTTCGCACCTAACCTAGCACTGATGTAAATATTAGGATTCGTAAAGTTGGTTGCAAAATCGGATTATCTCGGTGCAGTGGAATATTTTTTTTTAATTTTCCCCTTTTGTGGGAGAGGTATCAGAATCAGTTGCCCGATATTCCATTTCCGCACCAGATCTTGGGTTAATAAAAATATTGTAAAATATGCAATTTGAAGGCAATCGAGCACTTGCATCACATTCTATAAGAGTTATAAATTGTATAAATAAAAAATGTTGACCCTTTGGGTGCGAGGTATCTGATGGAGTGGGTCTATACTGACCATTTTCGCACCTGACGTAATATTAGGATGGAAATATTAGGATTTGCAAAGTTGGAGCAAAATCGGATTATCCTGTATATTTTTGTGCAGTAAAATATATATATATATATTTTTTTTTAATTTCGACCTTATGTGGGGGAGAACCGGCCGATATTGCCATCTCCGATCTCAATCTAAGTTCGATAATAATATTACGGTGTACCAAGTTTGGACCAAATCGGATACTCTCATCGAGAGTTGTCGTGCTCACCAGCCAAACAGACAGAGATACACTAGATCGACTCCAAATGTCCTGAAACGGATTTGGCTCAAAAAGGCCTAGGGTCTAAAACCGTTATTTCGATGAGGCACCTTTTCGCCATAGTCATAAGTTTAAGGCTATAATTAATTATTCGAATTGCAACTGAAAAAGGTGTAGGAAAGATAAATTTTTGAATTTTTACGAATTCAGGAAAAAACATTTATTAGCTTCTCAGTTTGGCTTCATTGTCATAACATCCCTCGTACATCAGCCATACATGTTTTGCTTATTTATATTGTTAAATAAATATAATTATCAGTTAATTTTATATAACAATAAGGGCTTTGATGGACCATTTTTTTCTCGTTCTTTCACAATTTACTATCAGCTCCTAAGATAGGGTGCTACTAAGTGATGTGTGCTATTCATTTTGAGGACTTCAAGATATGTGTATGTGTGTGTATATGTCAAACACATCATTCATATAGTTCCTCTTTATGCTTGAGACCATAACTAATTGAATTAAATATAAGTTCTTAGTAATACATCTTATGAAGTGCTTAGTAATACTAAAAATAAATCCACTCATTCCAAGGGAATTAGTGAATGATTTGCCTGTCATTGTCCTGTCATTAAAACAATGGTCAAAATTAAATAAATGTTATCATTTATAAGAAATTAAGAGAAACATTTGTTAAAGAACTTGGGAAAAGAATTCGTAATTTGCCACAGTTGATAATAGTTTACAATAACCTGGTTAATCTAAACGGTAAAATATGATTGTATCAAATCCTGATTGAAGGACCAAGAGAGGGATGATATCTCAAAACATTTTTTTGAAAATTTTGCATAAAAATAACTTGGAATCCGTTGAGATAAAAAACTGCAACAAAGTCAAATGTCATAATTTTTAATTTTTTTTTTGTAATTTTATTGAAGGAAAGCAAAAAATTTCGGAAATAGCATCAAATTTTAGAATAGATTTAGATTTGTTCGAATTGGTCACCTTTGGCACGAATTATGGTCTTCAATGGCCAATGAAACCGTCTCACGCTGCCAGAATTTTGCTCTGTGGTATTTTGGCCCATTCCCGGCGAAGCACTTGCTTGAGGTGATCGACACTTTGGTATTTTTTAGTGCCAACCTTACATTCCAAATATTCCAGACACAATAGTCCAACCGATTGGTATCCGGATATTTTGGTGGCTCATTTTGAGGAACCTCATTTTGTAACCATTCTTGAGTGGCGCGTGCTAAGTGCGATGGTGCTGAGTCCTGTTGGAATGTCCAAGGTCTAAGGCCAAATGTTTGCGTACCCAAGGCTTTAATATACCTTCCAGAATATTTTCGCTATAATATTCAGCATTTAATCTGATGCCACGGTTGATTAATACGGGCAGAGATCGACCATCGGCTGTTATGGCGGGCCACACCGTCACCATGGCCGGCGCTTGAGTTCTGGTGGCCAACCGAAGGTGCACATTTTCAGCTGACCTCTTTGGCAAGTAATCCCGATGATTTTGATGGTTTTCAAACTGCTGGGCAACGAGAAAATCAATTTGCAGTTCACCACTTTCGGCCAAGCGAAGCAACTCTTTAGCTCTGTCGAGTCTATTTTTTTCTTTCTGTCGTGGATTTTTAAAGAAGTTCTGTTTCAAGGACCCTCCAAGGCATAAACGTAGATTTTTAAAGATTTTTTTAAAGGACCCTCCAAGACAGAAACGTGGATTTTTAAAGAAAAATTTTTTTAAGGAACCTCCAAGGCATAGATATGAATTTTTAAAGAAGATTTGTTTCTAGGACCCTCCAAGGCATAAATGTGGATTTTTAAAGAAAAAATCTCCTAGAACCATCAAGGCCATAGACGTGGATTTTTAAAAAAAGATTCTCTCCTGAGACCTTAAACGTGGATTTTTAAAGAAGATTCTCTCCAGGGACCATAAACGCGGATTTTTAAAGAAGATTCTCTCCAGCGACCATAGACGTGGATTTTTAAAAAAAGATTCTCTCCTGAGACCTTAAACGTGGATTTTTAAAGAAGATTCTCTCCAGGGACCATAAACGTGGATTTTTAAAGAAGATTCCCTCCAGGAGCCATAAACGTAGATTTTTAAAGAAGATTCTCTCCAGGGACCATAGACGTGGATTTTTAAAAAGATTCTCTCCAGGGACCATAAACGTGGATTGTTAAAGAAGATTCTCTCCAGCGACCATAGACGTGGATTTTTAAAAAAGATTCTCTCCTAAGACCTTAAACGTGGATTTTTACAGAAGATTCTCTCCAGGGACCATAAACGTGGATTGTTAAAGAAGATTCTCTCCAGCGACCATAGACGTGGATTTTTAAAAAGATTCTCTCCTAAGACCTTAAACGTGGATTTTTAAAGAAGATTCTCTCCAGGGACCATAAACGTGGATTGTTAAAGAAGATTCTCTCCAGCTACCATAGACGTGGATTTTTAAAGAAGATTCTCTCAAGGGACCATAAACGCGGATATTTAAAGAAAATTCTCTCAAGGGACCATAAACGTGGATTTTTAAAGAAGATTCTCTCCAGCGATCATAGACGTGGATGTTTAAAAAAGATTCTCTCCTAAGACCTTAAACGTGGATTTTTTAAAGAAGATTCTCTCCAGGGACCATAAACGTGGATTGTTAAAGAAGATTCTCTCCAGCGACCATAGACGTGGATTTTTAAAAAAGATTCTCTCCTAAGACCTTAAACGTGGATTTTTAAAGAAGATTCTCTCCAGGGACCATAAACGTGGATTGTTAAAGAAGATTCTCTCCAGCGACCATAGACGTGGATTTTTAAAAAAGATTCTCTCCTAAGACCTTAAACGTGGATTTTTAAAGAAGATTCTCTCCAGGGACCATAAACGTGGATTGTTAAAGAAGATTCTCTCCAGCGACCATAGACGTGGATTTTTAAAAAGATTCTCTCCTAAGACCTTAAACGTGGATTTTTAAAGAAGATTCTCTCCAGGAACCATAAACGTGGATTGTTAAAGAAGATTCTCTCCAGCGACCATAGACGTGGATTTTTAAAAAAGATTCTCTCCTAAGACCTTAAACGTGGATTTTTAAAGAAGATTCTCTCCAGGGACCATAAACGTGGATTGTTAAAGAAGATTCTCTCCAGGAGCCATAAACGTGGATTTTTAAAGAAGATTCTCTCCTAAGACCTTAAACGTGGATTTTTAAAGAAGATTCTCTCCAAGGACCATAAACGAGGATATTTAAAGAAGATTCTCTCCAGGGACCATAAACGTGGATATTTAAAGAAGATTCTCTCCAGGGATTATAAACGTGGATTTTTAAAGAATATTCTCTCCAGGGACCATAACCGTGGATATTTAAAGAAAATTCTCTCCAGGGACCATAAACGTGGATATTTAAAGAAGATTCTCTCCAGGGACCATAAACGTAGATTTTTAAAGAAGACTCCCTCCAGGAGCCATAAACGTGGATTTGTAAAGAAAATTCTCTCCAGGAACCACAAACGTGTATTTTTAAAGAAGATTCTCTCCATGGATTATAAACGTGGATTTTTAAAGAAGATTATCTTCAGGAACCATAAACGCGGATATTTAAAGAAAATTCTCTCCAGGGACCATAAACGTGGATTTTTAAAGAAGATTCTCCCCAGGAGCCATAAACGTAGATTTTTAAAGAAGATTCTCTCCAGGGACCACAAACGTGGATTTTTTAAGTAGATTCTCTCCAGGGACCATAAACGTGGACAAATATTGAACCTCAATTCTTCATACAATGAGTGGAACAGTTGCTCTTTCTCTTTCCTGTCATCCAAAAATTTGATATCCTTTAAACCGTATCACATGTGTAAATTCCATCCATATTTGAAACAATTTCATTTTTCAATAAATTCAATATTTAATTGGAAATTGTTGACCATTGTTTGTTGTTAACTAATAACAGAAGTGCCACCAGGATATCGCTTTAGGTTCTTTAATTTTATTTTGATAACAATTTAATTTGTATTTCTTTCCATTTGTATTTTTTTAGGTGGCTTTATGGGAGATATTGCCTTGCCCGACATGGAGTATGATGATGGATATCCTTTGGTGGCCTATACCCAAATGTGGGAGGAGCCCATGCAAGCGGATGCTCCGGTCAATGATGCACCCGGTAAATACAACGAAACATTCCAAAAGGAAATGGAAATACTGAAACAAGAAGTCTACAACGAGGGTTTGCAGGTGGAAGAGGAGGGTCTCACCGATATTATACGGCGGAAAACCAAGTTGCCCAGTAATAAACCGGATTTGAATAATGATAATTCGGAGGTAGTATTTGAATAATTGAAAAATTTATAAATAATTAATTATTTCAAATTTTTTTCTTTAGTCCTTTGCCAATGAATTATTGAAACCCAAAACCCATCCCAGCTATGAAAATATAAATTACAAAATGATGTCATCAGCTCGGAGGACCATGAACCCCGAAAATATTCCATAAACATACCAAGCAAATTCAGTGCAGCGGGGAAAGATGATCTGCTGACAGAGAAACCAGATAAAACCTTCAACACTTCCCTAGAGAAACTCGAAAATATTCTAACCAACGGCAATGAGAAATCCCAAATCGAAGAGGAGAAATACAACAAATCAACGGTGGGTTTGGGCAACCGTAATGTGGATCAACGTAAAATCCAATCGAATACCAAGGACATCGAATTGGATACTGGCAATAATTTTGTATCGGAACGTAAGGTTGTCATTTTGCCAACGGCTGTGCCGGCCCAACGTTCTACGTTGCCCAATGTATATAGCAATGCTGGCGGCAATGGCATGAAATTGGATGATATACAAGAGTTGAAGGGCAGCAGTACCATTATTAAGCGGAGAAATAGGAGGGGAAGGAAAAATAGGTGAGTCCGAAAACGGAATCTAAAAGAAAGGCCTCAACTTTCGTTCTATGAAAATGTGAAAGGAAAATTTTTTATCGAGGAAAGAAATGTTCATTTCATATTTCCATAGAACAAGAATCCAGTAGAATTTTGCCCAGGCGATCGAAAATGAAAAAAAAATGTTAAAAAGCTCTATGTTTGGGCATGCCGAACTTTCAATACCCTCCACCGTTTGCAAAAAAATTTGGAAATTTTCAAAAAAAAATAAATAACTAAAAAATATGATCTGTTATAAATTCTGTAAAATCTTAAAAATACCGAATATAGGAGTTACCTTTATTTTGGGGACTATACGAAGCTGTGGACCTGCATAGGCAAATACGAAATTCGGAACAATTTCAAAAAATAATGTAACTGAATTTATTAAAATACCGAAAATAGGGAGGTACGGTTATATGGGGGCTATACAAAGACCTGGATCTGCATATGCATTTTTTGTCATAGACTGTAGTACCCATTAGGAACTTTAAATACGGAATTTGAAACAGATCCGGTGAATATTGTCACTAAAATCATCAAAATACCTAATATGGGGAGGAACAGTTATATGGGGACTATAACTAAAAGTGGACCTATGTAGCCCATTTTTAATACCAAAAGTCCTGCAAATGAAACACACATTTGAGTAAAATTTTATCAACCTACTTCAATTCGTTCGGATACGGACAGAGAGACGAACGACAATCGTTAAATCGACGTAGAATTTTATGCTGATCAAGGATTTACATACTTTGTGGGGTCTAAAATGTTTATTTCGAAGTGTTACAAACGGAATGACGAACTTAATATACCATTTACATTAATACTAAAATAATGATTCGGCTGCCTTTGAGAAGCAGGGTATCTATGTAACATTTATTTTAAATTCAAATGTAATTTCATTCCCTTTCATTTATTAAAAATTTCAATTTTTTTAGACGCAGCAATCCCAATAGCAGATCCGACTACAACCTTCGCATGCAACAGCTGAGAGAGGAACTAACTCGCCCGGTTGGCGAGGAGAAGAAACCCCATCATCGCCAACATCACAACCATCAACATCATCTGTCCACAAAATCGGAACAGAAACATCATCGCCAAGAACATGATTCCATTAAGAAATACTCGGAGAAAATATCGAATAATTTCACCGACAATGAATCCCTTAACGAAGAAATGAGATATTCGAAATTGAGTGATATATTCTTGGATATGGACACGGAACCGGAACGAAAACACAAGCCAAATATTGTACCCGCTTATGAGGCTGAGGAAGAGGAGTAAGTTCAATAGATGTTTTTTCGTTATTAAGACCCTTGAAATACCTAAAATCAGTGAGGGTATCTTATATAAGGACTATGGGCTAAAATATGGACCTTTATTGAGAATTTTTAAAAAGAGGGTTTTATATAGCTCTGTGCGGCATGAAATATATTTAAAGGAAAACATCAGTAGATTAAGAAAGTGGAGATTAAAAAGAAGACAAGAGTGTTGGCGTTTTGAAAATTAACAAGTTCAACGAAATCAGTCGGTATTGCCGACAGCTGTACATCCTCAGCCAATATTCGGTTATTTAAATAAATTTTGACTCGCGTTCCGATTATTTAAACTTTTGACCCTTCATAGGAGAGGTTCCGCAGGAGTGGGCCAATATTTTCCATTTCGTATCTGATATAAATCTAATAAAATTTTTCAAACTTATCAGATTTGGATTTTATATCGACCACTTCCTTCACTTTATATGAGATGCTTGATAATATTCGATAAGTTCGAAACATAAGTTAAGAGTTATAATTTTTTAAAATTTTTTCCTGCTGTGGGGGAGGTTCCAGAAGTAGTATTCCGATATTGTCCATCTTCACAACAGATCTTGTGTTGATAGATTTATTGAAATGCGCCAAGTTTGAAAGTAATCGGATGCTCGTTTCGCCTTTTATGTGGTTTATGGTTATTCAAATTTTAACCCGTTGTGGGGGAGGTACTAGAAGGAGTGGTCCGTTCTTCATACCAGACCTTGTGTTAGTGGAAATATTGAAATGTCTGTAATTTGAAGACTATCGGACTCTTAGTTCAAATTTAATAAAACTTATAATTTTTTCAAAAATTTTGACCCTTTGTGGGGAAGGTACCAGGAAGAGTGCCCCGATATCTACCATCTTCACAACAGATCTCGCTTAAGTATTGGGATGTGTACAGTTTAAAAAGAATCGGATGCTCATTTCGCGTTTTTCGAGCCTCATGGTTATTCAAAATGTTGACCATATTGTGGGGGAGGTACCAGAAAGAGTATGCAGGATATCCCATCTTCACACCAGATATTTCGTTAACAAAAATATTGAGATGTGTGAAATTTAAAGACAATCGGAGTAGTATCTTATATTTTATATGAGTTACAATCATTCGAAATGTTGACCCTTTGCGGGGGAGGTGCTTGATGGAGTGGGCCGACCTAGCACTAACAAAAATTTCGAGATTTGCAAAGTCAAGTGGTTATTTTCTTTCAAAATTTCGACATTTCGTGGGGCAGAAGGTACCAGAAGAAGTGGACCACTTTTGCCCACCTCCGAACTCGATCTTTGTTTAACCATAATATTACGAGGTACCAAGTTTGGACCAAATCGGATTCTCCCTTCGAGATTTATTGTGCACACCAGCCAGATAGACGGACATCGCTAGAGTGACTGCAAATGCTCTGAAACGGATTTGGTCCAAAGAGACCTAGGGTCTAAAACCGCTATTTCGATAAGGCACCTTTTGCCCGTACCAAATGATCTACACAATCTGTAGCCATTTGGTTGAGGGTGCAATGATATAGGATGTGGACGGAACAAATGGTTCGAAAAGTAAAGAAGCGACTTGATTGAAACCCACGTCGTAGTGGCCGAAAAATGGCTCGTGAGCTGAACATATCGCAATATTCCATTCGGCAAATATTGAAAAATGAGCTCGGGGTAAAGCCATTGCAATTCCAAAAAGTGCAAGAACTCACACCGCAACAGAAAGAAAATAGACTCAAAAGAGCTAAAGAGTTGCTTGCCTTGGCCGAAAGTGGTGAACTCCCGAATTTCGTTTTCTCCGCTCCGATGAGAAAACATTCGTTGTCCAGCAGTTTGTAAACGAACAAAATGATCGTGTCTACTTGCCAAAGAGGTCAGCTGAAAATGTGCACCTTCGGTTGGCCACCAGAACGGCCATGGTGATGGTGTGGGCCGCCATAACAGCCGATGGTCGCTCTCTGGTCGTATTAATCGACCGTGGCATCAGAATAAATGCCGAATATCATCGCGAAAACATTCTGGAGAGTGTATTAAAGCCTTGGGCACGCAAACATTTTGGTCGCATGCCTTGGACATTCCAACAGGCCTCAGCATCATCGCACTAAGCACGCGCCACCCAAGAATGGTTACAAAATGAGGTTCCTCGCTTCATTTCCAGCGCACAATGGCCACCGAAATCTCCGGATACCAATCCGTTGGACTATTGTATCTGGAGTATTTTGGAAAGCAAAGTTGGCACTAAAAAATACCAAAGTGTCGATCACCTCAAGCAAGCGCTTCGCCGGGAATGGGCCAAAATACCGCAGAGCAACCTTTGGGCAGCGTGTGACGGTTTCATTGGCTCTTTGAAGGCCATAATTCGTGCCAAAGGTGACCAATTCGAATAAATTTAAACTTATTCTATAATTTGATGCTAGTTCCGACATTTTTTTTTGCTTTCATTAAAAAAAAATAAAAAAAGAATGTAAAAATTTTACTGTGTTGCAGCTTTTTTTATCTCACCCTGTATATATATAATATTTATTTAGGTCCGATACGTAATGGATAATATTGCCCACTCGTTCGGAGCCCACTCCATAGAGGGTCAGTAATTTAAATAATCATAACAGAAGCCAAAATATATTGAATATTCGAACTTAGGCTCGGCAAAACCGACAGATACTTTTTAACTTATTTTACTTATTTCCATACGTCGATAGGGTGCGTATTCGTATTGTCAACAGTTATACGCCCCCATGTACCTTAAAAAATAAAAATGCCAATTTTCAATTCTCAAGAGGACAATATTTTTATTCAGTCTTTCATCAATTTCATAAATAAAGAAATTGTTTTTTTTGTCGGATACAACCTCCGCAATTTCCCCCTATCTGTTTTTCCACCAAAATCTTAATGTCTTTTTCCCTCTCTCTCTCTCTCTCTCTCTCTCTCTTTCACTTCCAGTGAATTCAGTTTTGTGCGTGAACATCGTCGCCTGCCACGCGCCGTTACAGCCAAAAAGGAACGTGTCTGGGACTATGGTGTGATACCCTATGAAATCGATGGCAACTTTAGTGGTCTGCACAAGGCTCTGTTCAAGCAGGCCATGCGTCACTGGGAGAACTCGACATGCATTAAATTTGTGGAACGGGAGCCGGAATTGCATCCAAACTACATTGTTTTTACCATACGAGGATGTGGGTAAGTGTTGTTGCTGTTGTGGTTATTGTTGTTGTTGGTGAAGTTACAAAATCATTGACAACATTGGCAGCCGGCAAGTCAAAGTGGTGTTGCTGCGCCGGCCACTGTTATTGTTATCAAGTTTACGCTCCATTTAAATGGGCAGCCATTCAATAATCATTATTATTTTCAAATTTATTTCTTCGCTTTCTCTCTCTCCCACTCCCTGCCTTAGCTGCTGCTCCTTTGTTGGCAAACGTGGCAATGGACCACAGGCCATTTCCATTGGCCGCAACTGTGATAAATTTGGCATTGTTGTCCACGAACTCGGCCATGTTGTGGGCTTTTGGCATGAACACACCCGACCGGATCGCGAGAAACATGTTATCATCGAACACAACAACATCATGAAGGGTCAGGACTACAATTTCAATAAATTAACACCGGACGAAGTGGACTCCTTGGGCATGGCCTATGACTACGACTCGATTATGCACTACGCCCGCAATACCTTCTCCAAGGGGACGTATCTGGACACCATTCTGCCCATCGAGGTGAAGGGACGCAAACGGCCGGAAATTGGTCAGCGTTTGCGTCTGAGTGTGGGCGACATTGCCCAGGCCAATTTGCTGTATAAATGTCCGAAATGCGGTCGGACATTTCAAGATAACACTGGCATCTTTGCCAGTCCCTCGTATCATACGGCCGGGGCGCTGACCAACGAGACGGAACATTGTGAGTGGCGCATAACGGCCACACATGGCGAGCGAGTGGTTTTGAAATTGGAGAATTTGGTATGTGTTTTGGTTTTCATTTTAGAGAGTAGTTTTTGGCAGTATATTATGCTCGTAAGGACACACACACACCCACACACATAGGCAGCCACATGCATGCATTCATTCACTCACTTCGACTCAATTGCATTGCAGCCATTTGAAGCACAAAACTGTCGAAGTGCGTTAATGTACAAATGCATTTCCGCTTGTGTGAATTCAAGTGTGAGCGAGCGAGCGAGCGAGAGTGTGTGTGTGTGTGTGCTCCAGTGTCCTTTGGATTAGAGCCCAATGACTGTAACATTTGATGCAAAATCGTATTAGTATTAATGCCGTGTTGTCTGTGTGTAAAAACTTCTGATTGTATTTTTTTTTTTTTTGTTGTATTTTTCCTGGCACCTATAGAATATTTTCAAATCGGAAAATTGCCAATCGGATTATTTGGAAATTCGTGATGGTTACTGGCATCAATCACCTTTAATAGCTCGTTTTTGTGGCAAAGTCAGTAGTGAAATATTAAAAACGGTTTCCAGCCGCATGTTGCTGACCTATGTCAACACGCATCGGGCCGAGGGCTATCGTGGATTTAAGGCCGAATTTGATGGTAAGTGGTAAAGTTTAATTAGTTTTGGCGGGTGTGAGTGTGTGTGTGTATGTCGATTTGGCAATTTGAATTACATGGCGGGAATTTGTAGGTAATTAGAATACAATGGAGATGATTTTGTAAATAAAATTCAAAACTAATGGTATTTTAAATTATTTTTTTGAAAGTCGGTAAATATATATAGCTTTGACTTTGTATTATGTGTAGCCCTCATCTTATGGCGAAGAGTATGAGGAAACGAGAATATACGAATTTTGTATTAAAATGCTTGACAGTATAATAATATAGGGAAACAGACAAATCTGGTATTGTTCAAACTCCTCTAAAGATTGAGATTCTCAACTGAAATATTTTATTTGATTCCAAGTTTTACTCCCCATCCCTTGTAACCTGAATTGGCACTGTTAATTTCTGTTTTCGATCTTAGTTGTTAATTTTTTTTTCAAATTTAGACCTAGGCCTGAAAGTCGTATTTATATTTTACGACTCCATATTTATACATGCAAATATTTCCTTGCTCTTCGATATTTTGAAAAAAGGTGCATTGCGAGCTACAACCACAAAAAACAGCAATGAAAGCCTAAAAGTCGAGCGGTTCCGAATTTATGATACCCTGCATATTTAGTAGAGTTTCACAACAAATAAAAGATTTTATGGGAAATTTTTAGAATTAACCATTTGATGCACAATAATTTGACATCGGATAAAGGTATAGATATGGGAGCTATATCCAAGTCTGAGCCGATCTCGATAAAATGTTGCAAAGTCATTTCTGAGCTGTATTTTATATATTTCTCCGAATATTGCTATTGCGGAGTGTATATTACGGCTGTGAAGGGCAGAATATCTGAACCGATTTCGATCAATTTGGATATTGGCCGATATTTGGCGCATGATATGGCATTGATATGAAAGCTATATCCAAATTTTGATCTATTATCTCCAATTTCAATAGGGTTCGTAATACCCCGACCAAGTTGTGGTGTAGGGTATACAAAATACATTCACAGTTCTTTTATGGAACTTCGAAATAGTCCACTCAAGCTAAATTAGACTTAAAATGTATATGAATCTTCAACTTTATATACAGTTGAACATTCCCCAAATGTGGTCCAATCCTTTCCTTATATAGGCCATGAAATAAAAAATCTAAAAGAGTAGTAAAATAACTGACTGACTGATGGGAATCAACACCCAGACGAAACGGCTGTTTCCAGAATCCTAGTATTAAACCGTCTTGGTTCTTAGAGTGCGATTTTCGGAAATTCGTACTAGAAGAATAAAGTTGATTTTGGAAATGTGTACTAAATGTACTAAATTTGGAACAGTTTGGTTTTGGGATGAACAGATGAAGCTGGAATTTAGAAATTGGCTTGGGGTTCCTGTTGGTGGTGGGTTTGTGAAAAAGAGGTGGTTTTGGAAATGTGTACTTCAAGGCCACGAAAAGTACTAAATAGTACTATATTTGGTACAATACTATAATTGTTCGAAAGGTATTAAATTTGGTAATGACTCAAGGGATAGGCCTTAAATGTTCAAATTTGACACTGTCGTCTCTGTTGGTATCTGCAAGTGAGATATGGAGGTGGTTTTTGAAATGTGTACTAAATTGTACGAAATTTACTAAATTTGATATTGGGTGGGGGAATAGAGCTGAAAGCCTTGAATTTGATATAGATGACACTATTGACACCACTATGTCGGTGTCTAAGAAGATCTGGAGGTAGTTTCGGAAATGTGTACTATAATTTACAAAAAATACTAGGGTAGATAGGGCTTCAGATTTGATATTGAGGTCCCTGTTGGTATCTCAGGTTGAGATTTGTATGTGGGTTTAGAAATGAACGAATGATTGTACGAATAAAACAAAATGGTACTAAATTTGGTATTGGGTGAAGTGATGGGGATAGAATTCTCAAATTTGATATTGAGGTCTCTGTTGGTTTCTGGAATGTAAGGGGTGGTTTTGAAAACATAATTGTTCGAAAAGTATTAAGTGGTACTATATTTGATCTTATTTAGAAGGGATGGAGATAAAATTCTAAAAATTGAAACTCTTGGTATCTTAGACTAGGAGGTGGGAAGTGAGTCCTATAATTGTACGAAAAGTACAAAATTTGGTATTGTGTGAAGGGATAGTATTTAAAATATCAAATTTGGTATTAGGGTCGCTGCCCATGTGTAACGTGGACATATGAAGGTGGTTTCAAAACTTTGTACTATAATTGTACAAAAAGTATTAAATGCTAAATTTGGTCTTTGTTGAATGGATATCACAAAATTCAGAAAATTTGACATTGAGATCTCTATTTGTATCTGGTGTTGAGATACAGAGATGGTTTTGGAAATTTGCACTATGATTGTGCGAAAAGTACTAAATAGTACTATACTTGGAACAGATTGGTACTGGAATTAGGGACGCTGTTCAAGAAACGCTACAATTGTACGAAAAATACTGAACGGTACTATTGTACGAAAAGTATTAGGAGGTATTAAATTGGGCATTAGGTAAAGGGATTGAGCTTAAATCCTAAAATTTGATATTGAGGTTTATGTTGGTAGCTGGGATTGACATATGGGGGTTATTGGGTAAAGGGAAGGAGCTGAAACCGTGAAATTTTATAACTCGATGATCATTGCTGTCCATGATTGAGATAAGGAAAGGTTTTGCAAATTATTACTAAAATTATAGGGAAAATACGAATTTTGGAATTGAGTAAATGAATAGAGCTGAAATCCCGAACATTAATATGGATGTCTCTGTTAGTATCTAGTGTTGAAATATGGAGGTGGTTTTGGAAATGTGTAGCGAAACTGTTCCAGAGATGTAGATTGTCTTGGATATGAGTAATAAGTTTTAATAAATTTGGTATTGGATGAAGGGATAGTATGAAATTCTGAATTTTAGTTTCTATAGTTTACATATGGAGTCATTGAAATAGTTTTGGATAGAAAAATTGTATGTATGTTCATTGTGTAATGTCTTTACAAATATCATGAAAGATTTGAAGATTTTTTGATGTAAGAGGTAAACATTTTTAACTTTATTCTTCTCAAAAAAAGGAAAAGCTTTAAAATGTATAAAACACTGACATTAGAATTTTTTTTGGAAAAATTTGTCCACCTTTTGAATATCTTTTTAAAAACATTTAAAAATAAGACTATTTTGGGAAAATATTTAAAAAAAGACACAAATTTTGGAAAAACATCCTAAAATTTGAAAATATAATCGGAAATAAGTCCTTGTTTGCAAGACATGTTCATGAATATTTCCACGTTTTTAAGAATTTTTGGAGACATGTTCGGAGATTAGTTCATTTGCTTTTAATAATGATGTTTTCTAGGAAATGCGATAAAAGTAGAGCTGGAATTGTGCATTTTGGTATTGGGATTACAGTTTGGATAACGTTTAGAAAAGTATATGAATTTGTATTTGTACGAAAATACTAAATGGTACTAAATTTTGTACGGAGTGTACGAAAAGAGGCGGAAGTATGAGTTTTGATATACGGGTCATTCGGGGCTTGCGGGATGTAGACGAAAAGTACTAAATTTGGTGTAAAGTGTGGGAACTGGACTGAAATAGTGAATTATGGTTGAGGATCGCTATGCGTGGAATATAGACAATGAGATTTTTTTGAAAGACCAGGTACCTCCAGCTTAAGGGAAAACAAAAAAATAAATTTGCAGTAGACGATCTACCCGTTTTAGTCTAAACTTTCCAAATCCCATTTTTTCTATCAAAGGTAGACCATTCAAACCCTTTTCTAAAAATTATTAAAATTTCACTTTGGGATTAACGAATTTTAAAGTTGAGTTCAAAATTAGGTATAAACCTTTCAGGTTGAAAAATTTCACTCCATACCGTCCAAAAATTATAAATGTTACAAAAAGCGAAGATCGAATATATATGTGGAATACCAAGATTGACTTATTTCACAAAGATTCAATATCTCATATAAACAGCAAGGAGTCACAGATTTGCTTCCAATCTTGGACCACAGTTATGTTGGGCGCCATAATCTCACCGATTTTTTATCTAAACCCATTTTATCTAATTTTTTTATAAGGACATATTTTCTTAGTTTTGTTTACAACTTTATTTCAATTTCTTAAAAATATATATATTTTTTATTCTCCTCAGTCGTGTGTGGTGGTGAGCTCAACATCGATGACAATGAAGGACGTTTGGAATCGCCCAACTACCCCCTGGAATATTTACCCAACAAGGAGTGCATTTGGAAAATTACGGTACCCAAAGGTTATCAAGTGGCGCTGAAATTCCAATCATTCGAAGTGGAAAATCATGACAGCTGTGTCTATGACTTCGTTGAAGTACGGGATGGACCCACACAGGAATCTCCCCTAATTGGGGTATTTTGTGGTTACAAACCACCACCAAATATGAAGTAGGTCCATTGCATTTTTTTACAACCTTCAGATAATAATGTAATGTCTTTCCCATTTTCAGATCCACCGGCGACACCATGTTTGTGAAATTCGTTTCCGACACCTCGGTCCAGAAGCCCGGTTTCTCGGCCACCTTCATGAAGGAGGTGGACGAGTGTGAGACACAAAATCATGGCTGCGAGCATGAATGCATTAACACGCTCGGTGGCTATGAGTGTGCCTGTCACATTGGCTATGAGCTGCACAGCGACAAGAAGCATTGCGAAGATGCATGTGGTGGTGTCATTGAATACCCGAACGGCACCATTACCTCACCCTCATTCCCCGACAAATATCCCTTCCTGAAGGACTGCATCTGGGAGATTATCGCACCGCCCAAACATAAAATCTCTTTGAATTTCACCCACTTCGATTTGGAGGGAGCCACCCATCATCAGTCCGAGTGTGGCTATGACAAGGTGACCATTTATTCTAAACTCAGTGAGAATAAATTGAAAAAGATTGGCACCTATTGTGGCAGCTCAATACCGCCCACGGCCACCTCGGAGGGCAATGCGTTGCGTGTCGAATTCCATTCGGACAAATCAATACAAAAGTCGGGATTTGCAGCGGTCTTCTTCACCGACATCGATGAGTGTTCGATTAACAATGGCGGGTGTCAGCACGAGTGTCGCAACACCATCGGTTCGTATGTGTGTTCGTGTCACAATGGCTATTCGCTGCACGAGAATGGTCATGACTGCAAGGAGGGCGAATGTAAACATGAGATTTCGGCACCATTTGGCACAATCTACAGTCCCAACTATCCGGATTTGTATCCACCCAATGCCGATTGTGTGTGGCATTTTTCGACAACGCCAGGGCATCGCATTAAATTGATATTCAATGAATTCAAAGTGGAATCGCATCAGGTAAGTGGGGGGGAGGGAGGGGGTGATGTTGATTTCCGAAGCAAACAATAATGAATGAATATTCCATCCAAATTATAGGAATGTGCCTATGACAATGTGGCAATTTATGATGGCGATTCGGAGAGCAGTTCCCTGCTGGGTCGTTTCTGTGGCGAGAAAATACCCTACCCCATATCCTCGTCCACAAATCAGCTGTATATGGTACTTAAAACGGATAAGAATAAACAGCATAGCGGTTTCACGGCGGTCCATTCAACATGTGAGTATTTGAGAGAGAGAGGGGAGAGGGGGAGATAATAATATATTGTGATATTGGGTGATAAAAATATATTGTTGTTTGTTTTACCTTTGCTTAGCTTGTGGCGGTTATTTACGTGCCACAAATCAAATCCAACAATTCTACTCCCATTCGAGATTTGGCAATTTGAACTACGAGACCAACATGGACTGCGAATGGACAATCCAGGCGCCGCCCAATAGCTATGTTAATTTGATATTTTTGACATTCGATCTGGAGAGCAGCGAGAATTGTACCTATGACTATGTCCAGGTGTTTTCGGGCATGGAAGATACCAGCGGACCAATGTATGGACAATATTGTGGCAATACGGTAAGTTTGGTTCTATCATCTATACCACAAATAGGGTACGAAAAGTACTAAAATGTTCTAAAAACTTCATACTTTGTATTGGGCAAAGGAAATGAGCTGGTATTCTGAAATATGGAATGGGAGTCACTGATAGAGTGAAGGGTAGTTGTACCAAAGGGTTTTTGGAAATTTGAGTTTTAAGGTTACGAAAAGTTCGAAAATGGTACGAAACTTCTAAAATGGTACCATTTGGTATTATATGAACGTGTAGAGCTAAAAACTTGAAACTCGGTATGAGAATCGAGGTTGGAAACTAAATTTGATATTTGATGGTGATTTTGGAAATTTGTACTAACTGCGCGAACTGTACTAAATGGTACTAAATTTGGAACAGTTTTGTTAAGGGTGAACGGATGAAGCTGGAATTTTTAAATTTTGTGCTAGAGTCCCTGTTCGTGGTAGGTTTGTAATAAAGACCTGTTTTTGGAAATACAAATACAATATAATACAAGGGCACGTAATGTACTAAATAGTACTAAATTCGGAGGCATTTGGTGGACTTTGGAATTCGGTGAACAGATACCACTTGAAATTTGGGATTTTGTATAAGGGTCGTTGTTCATGTCCAGCCCGAACATATGAAGGGGGTTTCGAAAATGTGTACTGTAATTGTACTAAAAAGTACTAAATAGTACAAAATCGGGTATTGGGTAAACAAATGGAGCCAAAATCCAAAAATTGTATATAGATTTCGCTGTTGGTGTGTGATGTTGAGATTTGGAGGTGAGTTTGGAAATGTATACTATAATTGTACGAAAAGTGCTAAACGGTATTAAATTTGGTACAAGTCGGTACTGGCTGAACCGTTAGTGCTTCAAATGTGAAATAGAGGTAGTTTCGAGAATGTACTGTAATTGCAATAAAAAGTACTAAATTGGGTAGGTGGCTGGTATCCTCAATTTTTTATTGTTGGTATCAGGAATTGGAATCAGGAATGTGGAGATAGTTTTGAAAGGGTGTACTAAGTAGTAATACATGTACTAAAAAGTACCATATTTGGTTCAATTTGGTATTGGGAAAACAGATAGTGCTTGAAATCTGAAATTTAATATTAGGATCGCTGTTTGTGTGTAGCCTGGTCGTATGGTGAATTTTTTGAAAATGTGTACTATAATTGTACGAAAAGTACTATATGGTACTAAATTTTATGAGGGGTGAGGAATAGAGAGATAAATTTCTGAAATTTAATATTTAGATTACTGATAGTATCTGTTTCTGAAATACAGCGGTGCTTTGAAAATTTGTCCTATATTTTAACGAAAAGTACTAAATGGTACTAAATTCGGTATTGGATGAAGGAAAAGAGTTAGAATCCTTAAATTTGATATTGAGTTCTCTGTTGGTGTCTGGAATTGAAATATGGAGGTGGTTTTGGAATTGTGTACTATCATTGTACGAAAAGTACTAAGTGGTACTAATTTTGGTATTGGGTGAAATAATGAAGCTAAAATCCTAAAATTACATATTGAAGTCTCTGTTGGTATCTGGGATTGAGGTATGAAGGTGGGTTTTGCAAATGTGTACTATAATTGTACGAAAAGTAATAAATGGTACTAAGTTTCGGTATTGGGTGAAGGAATAGGGCCGGAATCTACAAATTTGATATTGAGATCTCTCTTTTGGTATCTGGAATTGAAATATGGAGATTTTTGTAATGTGTACTATAATTTTTCGAAAAGTACTCAATAGTACCAAATTTAGTATAGGGTAAAAGAAAGAAAACAATATCAACTTTGAGGAAATGATTTTGGAAACATGTACTATAATTGATGGAAAAGTACTAAATGGTACTAAATTTGATGTTGGAAGAAAGGAATAGGGCTGGAATCCTAAAATTTGATATTGAGGTCTCTGTTGGTATCTGGAATTGAGATATAGACGTGGTTTTGGAAATGTGTACTATAATTTTAGGAAAATTACTGAAAGGTACTTTCTTTGTACACTGTTGGGATGTGTCTGGGATGGAGATATTATGATTGGTTTGGATATGCGTACTAAATGTTACTAAATTTGGTATTGGGTGAAGGGATAGAGCTGAAATTCTGAAATTAATTGTTAGGGTCATTTTTGGTTCTAGAATTTATATATGTAGACGTTAAAATAGTTTCGGACCGGAATATTGAAGGTGGGTCCATTGTACAATGGTTTTACTCGACAAACTTCGAAATGAAAGATTTTGAAGAATTTTTGTGTAATATTTAAACATTTAGAGAACGGGTAAATATTACCCTTTCCGACCAAATTAAAAGTGGAAGATGTTTTGAATACAAAATATCTACAATATTTTTTTAAGAATATTTATCATTAATAAATTTCTTTGTTCCCTTCCATTTCCAGATACCTCAAGACATTATATCGCTAACCGATTCTCTGTTGGTACGTTTCAAGACCGACAGCAGTGTTGATTACAAAGGTTTCTCTGCCTCGTATGTGGCTGTAAATCCCTTCGACAATAGCGAAGAGGACGAGGAAGAAGGCAACTCATATAGTGCCGAAATTGCCACCGCCTTTCCGGGTGCGCTGAGACCCATCTACAAGGAGGACATCAGCAAGGAGACAGACGACTACAATGAATTCAATGAAAATCAACTGCTCATCAATAATCAATACTACGGACGCAATCGATATCAAAATAGATATTAAAAAGAAAAAAAAAAAACAAAACAAAATCCGTATCCAATGGAGGATACAACCTTAGCCATACAACTTCGTAAATGTAATTTTAAGTAAGAAAAAAATATTGCTCTGTTGCAGAAACTGTAAGAATATTGGATACGATTTTCGATATAAGAAAGGAACAATTGGTTATCGTAGGAAGAAAATATTACATCCTTACAGTTCTGAAACAGAGCATATTTTTTAAAAAAAATTAAAAAAAAAACAAAAACACACACTTTGACAATATATAAATGACTTTCATTGAGATTGTTTATCATGCATTTTTTAACGAATACCAAAAACTAAGTTAGATCATAAATGAAAAAGAAAAAAAAAAACAACAACAAAACAAAAAAGAGACAATTTAAACATATTCATTTACATACTCTTACATATAAAGTACATACATATTTTAACATTAAGCATATCATCTCAGTAGAAGAGGAAACCCTGGACCGATGACCACTACAGACCGACACAACTTTTCGACCTTAGAGTTCGTTTTTTGGGCTAAATGTTATTAGACATTAAGAGAGAATGGAAAACAAAAACTTTGAACTGATAAACAATAAAAGTTTAAAAGCGATCTGTTTCTTATACATGTGTACGTACATTTACATATACACTAAATAATACATACATATACCCTGAAAGAGACATTATGAATAAAAACAAACTATACAATAAGATTTTTAATATTTTTTAGTTTACAATTATAATACGATTTACTTAAAACCAAAAAATTAATAAATACATTTCTTTATTTACAAAATTTTATTCTGGTTTAACTAATTATTTTTTTTTTTTAAATAAAGTGTTTTCATTATTTTTTTTTGTGTTATATATTCTGTTTTTAGTTAATCAGACAAAAATACGTACTTTATGGATATGAAGATATATTCAAGAGGGAAATTTCTTGTTGTCAGATTAGAGACCAGAATGTAGTATTCCTACAACGCTATTCAAATGTATGCATCTTTCTGTTAAAAACATTAATGTACCCTCCATATTTGAAATACTCGTTGAAAACCCATTAAAAGCACGGTACCGCCCACATTATGTAATTTTGAAGACCTTAACTGCGTTCTTCAACCGATTTTACTAGAATTTGCAGTATGAAAAATAATATTGAATTCGGATATTTTAGTTATAAATATGGTATCTTCCTCGTGATTGAAGGGTTATATAAAATCGTTCCCTATTGAAAATTGTCAGCCAATTCTTAAAGCACTATTTAAAAAAAGTCCGATGTTGGGCGGGGCCGACTTTATGATACCCTACACGAAGTAGATTTAGCAAATATAATTTAAGGCCGAAAGGAACTATTATATGGCAGAGTATCCTTCTCTAAAGCGATTTTCACCAAATATGATGGACTAAACCGATATTCATCAACATCTTCCTTATGTGAGCTTATAATACAATTTTAGGCACAAAAAATTTAATTCGGATGAAGCTTTATATGGGAGCTATATTCAAATCTGAAGCGATCTCTATAAAAATTAGCAGAGGTATTTCTATGGTGAATCTATCTAATAGCTGGGGCCAAAGATCGTTGTTGTGGAAAGAATTTTACAGGTGTGAGTTACTTTAGTACAAAATCGGATGAAACATATATTTGGGAGTTTTTATCATTCGTCCAGGCTAAATTCCTTCGTCCGTGACAAAATCCATTCAATTCAGACGTATATTATTAATTTGGTCTGCAATAAATTTTGAAATCGAATAGGACATATATGGGAGCTATATCCAAATCTGAACCGATCTCTATTACAATTAGCAGAGGTATTTCTATGTTGCATCTGATAGCTGGGGTCAAAAATCGTTGTTGTGGAAATGATTTTACAGGTATGAGGGACTTTAGTACAAAATCGGATAAAGCATATTCACGGGACCTTTGGCTACATCTGAACCGATTTGTATCAAATTTTCTTCCAGGTTGAATTCGTTCGCCCGTGACAAAATCCATTCAATTCGGACATATATTAACCTTTTGATCTGCAATAAACTTGAAATCGAGTAAAGATACATATGGTAGCTATATCCAAATATGACCCGAAGTCGATAAAATTTGACAAAGGTATTTCTGAGCTATATTTGATTCATTTCCCGATTATCATTGTTACGGAGTGCATATTACGGGTGTGAAGGACAAAAATAACAAATAGGATGAACAATATATATGGGAGCTATAGCTATACCTGAACCGATTTTCACTAAATTGTACATACTTGCTTCTAGGCTCAATTGGGTGGTATGTGCTAAATTCCATCCGATTTGGTCAATTATTACACATTGGGTGCAAAATAAAGGGCAAATTGGACGAAGATATACATTTGAGCTATATTTAAATTTCAACCGATAATCTCCAATTTCAATAGGGTTCGTCCTTGTGCCAAACATTCGGACAATAAATACGACCTGTACTTTATTTACTAGGGTATAAAAATTAATTGATCTTTTCACACCGGAACTTACGTTAGTAAAAATATTGCGATACATAAAATTTGAAGAGTTATGAATGCTTATTTCGCATTTTATGAGAGGTATAATTATTCAAAATTTCGACCAATTTTGGGAGAGGTACCCGAAGGAGTCGTCTGACATATTCCATCTTCCTACCAGGTTTTGTGTTCATAGAAATATTGGGATATGTGAAATTTTAAAAGAATATGATGTTTATTTCCCATTTTATGAGAGCTTTATTTATTCGCAACTTTGACCCGTTTTGGGGAGGTAGCAGAAGGAGTGGACCTAGCACTGACATAAATATTAAAAATTGCAAAGTTTAGAAACAATCGTAATTTTTTCTCTTTCTATGTTGCCCATCTCTGGACTCGATGTGATTTTGACAATAATATCCAAGTACCAAGTTTGAACCAAATCGGATACTCCCTTCGAGAGTTATTGTTCGCACCAGCCAGCCAGACAGACAAACAAACGGGCGGATGTACAGACGTATTCACACCCCTTAATCGACACAATATGATGGATTTGGTCCAAAGATACGTAGATACGATACGTAGTGGTCTACAACTTTTATTTCGATAAGGCATTTTCTTGGACGTATCAAATGATATTTAACCTCTAAAACCATATGGCTGTCGGTATAAAAAGGAATGGAGCGATATTTTCAATCCGATATTAAAATCGAGACCAAATCAGATACTCCCTTTGATATTTATCGTGCCCACAAACAGACAGACGGACTGGCATGGGAATCAAGTGAGGAGGTTCCAGGTATAAAAAGGTGTTCCTCCTATGCCCGTTAATTTTATTTCCACAAAGTAGTACAAAATGTTTTTTTTTTTGGTAACCCAAAATTCCAGTGAGAGTGAGAGCGAGTGAAGAGAACAATTTTGACAATTGAGTTGCTGAGAGTTAGCAAATTGTTGCTGGGAAATTTTGTAACTCCTCGAAACACTCATGTTCGATCCAACAACAAAAATCAAAGTCGCTTTAGCGATGTCCGTCAGTTTTAATCACTCTATTTGCGAAATGTGTATTTTGCCAGTAGGTAGGTCCGTCATGGACCCATGTCGGTTCACTTTTTCGTATAGCCACCATATAACGATGCCGCCAGTCATTCGGTATTTTTATATTATTAGCGACATTATTCACTGGAATTGTTTCTTATGTGAAATTCGGAATAGCTACTACTGCCTAGGACAAAAAATTACTTATGGCCGGCATAGAACGGTTTTCATTTGAGCCGTATTTTTCGACAGTTTTTTTTTTTTTGAAATTTTTCGAGTTCCTCCTGAGTTCCTTAAAAGTTCAACCCGATCGGGCATAGCTCCGTTTGTAACTCCTCGAAATACCTCCCGATATTCGGTATTTTGTTGATTTTATTCACCAGAATTGTTTCAAATTTAACATTTGGAGTTCGTAATGGATACTACAGCTTATGACAGGAAATTGTCCAATAATCGGTATTTTGATGATTATAGCCTCATTATTCACCGGAATCGTTTCAAATTACGTGTTTAGAGGTCGTAATAGGAACTACAGTCTGTGACAGAAAATTATCTTTGCAGGTCTAGGTCTTCGTATAGGCCCCATATATAAGTACCTCCCTATATTCGGTATTTTACAATACTCACGGAAATTGTTTGAGATGTCGTATTTAGAGTTCGTAATGGATGCTACAGCCTATGACAGAAAATTGTCTATGCATGTCCAGGTCTTCGTATAGCTCCAATATAACGGTATCTCCCTATATACGGTATTTTAATGAATTACACCTTACATTATTCATCGTTTATTTCAAATTTCGAATTTGAATATGGTAATGGCTTATTACAAACAAATAGTATAGACCCGGTATATTTAAGATTTTAACAGAATTTTAAGGGATTTTATTTTTTGGAAAATTTCCAAATACGTGTCAAATGTTGGAGGGAATTTAAAGTTCGGCCCGGCCGAACTTATTGCTTTTTAACTTTTTTTTCGCTACGACAAACAAAAATTCTTCTCTAAAAATAATTTCTATTGAGGTTTAAGATTGAGAGTTCTAACTATAGTAGAATATTATGACAACAAGTTTAAAGCATTTCGTTTAAAATGTATTTAAACAAAAACAAAAAACATATAAGAAGGACCAAAACTAGTTCTTTGGTGACTCGCTTGAGGATTATGATATTCGACCAATAATATACCTTAAAATGTAGAAGACTGGTGCAGACAGAGAAAAGGTGTACTCCTCGATTTGAGATAAAAACAAATTAGGGCCGATACCATGCAATTCTCGAATATTTCCCTTAATATTCTCTCAGATCTTTTTTTTTTTCATATGCCTATGTAGGTCCACCTCAACCCAAGTTCAATTTGGTATAATCACAATTTGTTATATTAAATAGTTTTGTTTTTTTTCTTAAATTTCATTAGTAAAAAATACGTTTAGAATAATTGAAATCATATTCAAAAAGACAAATTCATATTTATATCTAAATCGAAGAGATCAATAACAAAAGCGACAAAAATAAATATACCTAAATACAAACATATATCATGGATCAACATCAAATAAAACATACAAACATACATAGAAACGTATACACATGACACATCACACACATTGCAATGGAAAACAATAATTAGATTCTAAGAAATACATACGTACATACATTCGAATATACTCAATGCAATTTATTATCAGACAAACATATATTTAAAGAAAAATATAACTTTATTTCATAAACTTCAAATTAGAATTTATTTTTCTCCCTTTTTAAGTAGCAAAACTAATTGAAACGAAAGAGGAAGAGGGTAAGAAAAACGAAGAAAACGATTTTGCATTTAGAACAATTAAATAAATGTATGGAATTCCAATCAAATCTCTTAATAATGAAATGTTATGTAATAAATACTAAAAACAAAAAAAAAAAATGAAATTAGATCAAAACTTTCAAATAGCCGAAACGAGACAGAAAAGTAATCGAAATATTTATACAACTTTTATCCACTTTTTTTAATTGATCAACGTTAAAAAAATATTAGTTTTGACCTAAATAAAAAATAAATATAAACTGATGATGAATAATACAATTATCAGCCATAGAACTCCTATTGAAATTAGAAACAATTTTTCCAATTTAAGAAAAAGAAGAAAATAATAAAAAAAAAATTCCACTACATCTAAAGAAACTCTATTCAAAATATCTTGTAATTTTTTATGATTTTGGTATGCAAAGCGGTAAGTTCAAAATATTTTTAGCTACATCGATGTAGCAATTGTTTAAGATATTTAGATATGTATATCGTACTAATTAC